AACCCGGGTTTGAACCTCAGACCTCTCGCACCCAAACCGAGAATCATATCCCACAACCATTGAGCCGGTCTACCTACAATTAGTATTTGAAAAAACTATAATACAATTTTAGTGTAAATTACTTTAAAACTAAAATTCAGGTCAAATATCCGCTCAACCGGGCACAACCGGGATTTTAACCCGGGACCTCTCGCACCCAAAGCGAGAATCATACCTCTAGACCAGTGATTCCCCAAGTGGTCCACATGGACCTTCAGGGGTCCATGGTAACTTTCAAGGGGTCCACGGTGGCAAAAACAAAATTTGGGAGTCCACGAAATAAAAATGGGGGTCCACGGCAGTAGATTACAATAGACCATGTTAAAATCTATTTATTTACGTTAAACGATAATATAATATATTTATTTACAATAAATCTTTTAATATAGTTGGCAATATTTAGGAATGATTCAAAAGGTAAAGAAAATATTACATATTTATATAAAGTGTGTAAGTTGTAGCCTGTAGACATTCGAGTTGTGGTTAAACTATATGCTCAGTGCCGGCTTTAGGGTAGGGCGAGGTGGGCGACCGCCCTGGGCGCCGGCAAAAAGGGGCGCTGCAGGCGCCCCCCGGCTGATGCTCATAGTTCGAGGTCTGCTTAGTCGTCTCGTAAATTAAGCGTTTTTTTTGTCTATTGTCAAAACACATTGTCCTTTTAACGTTTTGGTAAAAAAAAAGCTAGCGTTATTGTAGCGAAGCGTAACAAACTCAGCTCATTCGCATGGGATAGCGAACTTGGCCACTTGGCCAGTCACTCGAAATGGCAAAATCATTGATCACATAATTACTAGTGGCCCAGTGCAAACTCGCATTGATAATTATCCGAAGAATGATGCAGGCCGACATTTCTCTAATTCTCATTTCACAAAAATTCTTACAAACAATGAAACAATTCAGCGCCGTTGGTTAATTTACTCCGTTTCTAAGGATCGAGTTTATTGTTTTTGTTGTAGACTATTTGATAGTAGCTCAACGTCGAACTTAGTAACTGGAAATACTTGTCTGAAATATTAAAAAATCAGAAAATAGCACTTTTCATAAGAAGTTTTACTTTTTCATGGATTGAAGCTGAACTACGATTAAAAATAGAAAAAACGATGGAATAATGTTTTGTCTAGATTGATGCATATCACACTTTATTTAGCCGAAAACAATATGGCGTTCAGAGGCACTTCTGACAAACTATATACGCCAAATAACGGAAAGTTCTTAGGCTTTGTACAATACGCCAAATTTCATCTAGTCATGCAGGAGCACTTGCGATTAGCTATGAAGGGTGATATTTCAGACCACTCAGCTTCTGTTCATCGATGGAAAATTCTACCGATCACTTGGGACTATATACTATAAAAAAGTACAGTGACACTCGTTGGGAAGCAAGAATAAGTAGTGTTACAGTAGTCCGTTATCAAATTAGTACTATCCTGATGCTTTGATTACTTTGGCTCTTGAAACTCAGAAAAACTGATGTTCAAATGTCTCATGAAGCTACTACTCTAGCCGAACAACTAAAAGATTTCAGCTTCATAGTTTCATTGGTTGTTTGGTATGACATACTTCATCAAATAAATGGTTGTAAGTAAATCTCCACAGTCAACAGATATGGATCTTGGTAAATGTACACAAATGTTGAAAAATGCGCAATTTTTTGGAAGACTACAGAAATACGGGCTTTAAAAGCGCTATTTTAACTGCGAAGGAGTTGGCTGAAGAACTAGAAATTGAGCGTCAAGCTGGTGAAATTGCACGCGATGACCCTATAATTCTCAGAAAAAAAAATTTGAGGTTGAATTTTTCAACTGTCTTTTGGACAACATTAATTTCAATCAATGAAGGTTCGAAACAGTTAAATGAGTACTCGGAATATTGGTCTTTTTGTACAATATAAACAGATTCCAGAAAACGCGACCTTCTCAAGCCTTGTAGTGATCTCCAATTAAAATTAACTGTATACTCTAAATCAGACATAGATGGTTGTAGTTATGTGATGAACTTATAAGTCTGGCATCCCACCTGATAAAAATGTGGTTACTCCATTTTTGTTAAAATTTTATCACGATTTAACTTACAAGAACGGTATCCCCAATGTATGGATATCATTGCGAATTTTATTAA